CATTTGATGTTCCCTGCACTGTCCCAGCTCTCTGGGTCGGGAATCCGATCACGGTAACAAAAGCAAACAAACCAGGGTTTAAATAGAAGCAAAAAAAACCTTGGAAGGGAAAAACCAGTGAGAGCCAATGTTTACCCTGAGGATGGGATAGTTTAGAAATGATGGCTGGGAGTCAACTCTCCAATATTTTTAGTTTCTAAAGGTTTGCTTACCTCAGCCACCGACTCCCTGTCCCCTCGGATGGGGACCAGGCTGCAGGTGCAGCTTCAGATACTCCTCAGGGAGAAGCAGGAGGGGAAAATTTGCACCTGATTTTTGGGGCATATTAGACACTGCCTTACAATTTATCAGCTAATTACAATTAGAGCAGAAACAAATGCCCAGGTGAGTTAATTAACACTGCTGTGGGCACACAGTGAAGGAGCCCAGTGGGGATCTAGAGAAGGGAAAACAGACCCTGAAATGCAGAGTTTGAATGTTGATTTGTACTGAGAACAGGTTCTTGCTAGTTTTGGTTGAACACTCCAAATTGAAAGCTGCTTTAGGAAGATGGCACAATGCTGGGATAGTCTGTGACAGGAAAAGATGAGGGATTAAGGAATCCACAAGGAAACCAGAAGTCTTCCAGTGTCTAAAGGGGCTCCAAGAGAGCTGGAGAGGGACTTTGGGCAAGGGCCTGGAGGGACAGGACAAGGGGATATAGCTTCCAACTGCTAGAGGGCAGGGATAGATAGGATATTGGGAAGGAATTGGGAAGGAATTCTTCCCTGTGAGGTGCTGAGGCACTGGCACAGGTTTCCCAGAGAAGCTGTGGCTGCTCCATCCCTGGGAGTGTTCCAGGCCAGGCTGGATGGAGCTTGGAGCAACCTGGGCTGGTGGAAGGTGTCCCTGCCCATGGCAGGGGTGGAATGAGACGATCTTTAAGGTCCTTCCAAGCCAAACCATTCTGGGACTCTTATGATTTAACCCTTCTGTCAGCAGCAGAGGACAGTGAGGAATTGGGGATCAGATGCAGCCACGGCAGCCGGTCCTGGCCAAGGCTGATGCTCTTCTGTGTTCAGGAGGATGAAAATGATGATGTGATGACCAACCCACCCTGGTGACAACCCTCCAGTGACCCAGCACAGCACACCACGAGCCAAGTTCAGCCCCAGACACAGAGTGACCAACCCAGCTTTGAGCTTATATTAATTTTATTCACATTTCCAGAGGAAAGCATCAGTGGAGTGCAAGGTCATGGCTAGTGTCAAAAAGCTCAAGTATTTGGTTTAAAGAGGCAAAGATTTCCGAGGCTGAGTTGCCGCTCCCTTCCCTGCACGTGTTTCCAGTCCGAGTCACAGGAATCTCACAAACAAGCTGGAAAATCACATGATGGAGGGGATGTCAAAAACTTTAAAGCTTTCTTGGTATAAATCCCTAAGCAGGGCATGAAAGTAGCAGGCAGGAAATCTTGTACAGCTGAACTAGCTTATCCCCTGGGCTGAACGTTGGGTTGATTTCCCTTTGGTTGTCGAGTTTCGCTCTCGGCGTCGCCAAACGTTTCTGTCCAACCCTAATGTGATTCATTACCCAGAGCTGAAATTTGCTGCTACTGGATTACAAGGATGATTGTTGGTGATGGCACAGAACAATTTTAACAGGAGTCTCGACCGAGGAGAAAAAGAGAAGGGGAGGGAAAAAAAGGGATTGCTTTGGATTTCAAAAACCAGGGAGAGAGAAATGAAAACATAGCCAGGGATAAAGAGCTATTTGGAGAAGTGAAACTTCCCAATTGCACTGCTGCCCCACGGGGATTTGTCACAGCTCTGGGTGGCTTCTAAGTGATCTGTTTGTATTTCTGGAGTCTCGACCGAGGAGAAAAAGAGAAGGGGAGGGAAAAAAAGGGATTGCTTTGGATTTCAAAAACCAGGGAGAGAGAAATGAAAACATAGCCAGGGATAAAGAGCTATTTGGAGAAGTGAAACTTCCCAATTGCACTGCTGCCCCACGGGGATTTGTCACAGCTCTGGGTGGCTTCTAAGTGATCTGTTTGTATTTCTGGGTTCAGTTGGGCACTGGTTCCTTTTTTTTCAGCAGGTCCCAAATCCTCCCAAACCCAACTGGCATCAACCAGCTTCAGCTTTGCTCCCCACAGAGCTACAACTTTTGGCTTTTTGCTTCAAAGTGCACAATTCAAACGAGACATAAAAAGGCATCACACAACCAAAGGCATCTGCAGAGCCCTCACTATGCCACAGGCCTGGGGACAGGCAGGGCTGAGCTGGGACAGGGAAAGTCTGGAGCAGAGGAGAGCAGGAAAGACTCACCAAGACAAACATGAAAGTAACACTCCCTGACAGAAGCAGAATGGCATCAGCAACTCAGTTATGGGGCTAAAAGATGAGCTGGTTTAGCTGTTTCTCTGTCTTGTAAGTAGCAGTGAGTTTTCAGTGTGTCCAGTGAGGACACTGGAAATGTTTTGCCCAGTGCAGTTGCTGGGCTATACTGGAACACAGCACTGTTTGGAAGGGAGTGGATTATAGATGTGAGCACATTCTTGCTTGCTCTGCAAAGACAATTAACAGATTACAAAAAAAAAGGCACAAGCAGCACATTCCTCCTCCTTCCATCCCTACAAGGTTCCTCCTTCCCCCCTGCTGCAAGCTCTGCTCTGGCTGTCACTGAACAACCTCCAAGTACACATTTTCCTCTTTGATCCAGCTGGCTCAGAAGCCCCAAGGATTAAAGATTTCTCTTCTGTTTGAATAATTTCACTGACTAGAATCTCATTGCTTGTTTAACCAATTCTCTTCATCCTCCATCTATACGTAGGCAAAGAAATGAAATTAATATTATATTTTGTCTTATTGCTAGAGGCAACTTGCTGTCCCCCAACTCACGTTCCCAGAGGGAGGAGGGAAGACACAAAATCTGGCAGGACCTGGACCTGCTTGCTAGGAAGAAGAGAAAGGCAAAACTGCACTCAGCACACCTGGCTGGGGGTCACAGAGGGGGAAGCTGGAGCAAAGAAGGGCTCAGGGGTATTTAAGAGGTCAGTGGAGAGGCAGGAATAGAAGTCCAGCTCCAGATCCTCTGCTCCAGTTGTTAAGAACCAACTTTGCTTTGCCCAGAAGGTGAGTTGTGTTGGAGGCCAGGACATGCCACTTGCAATTCAAGCTTTCATGCTGATGCTGGATGCACAGAGCAGGATGAAGGAATATGACTCTTTGGTGAATATCCTGGTTATCATATTAAAAATGTGTTTTAATATATTAAAATCATCTCTTGCCTAGTCCTTAACACTGCAATAAATTCCTCTCCTGCAGTTGCCTGGCTGATATTTCATGTTTCAGTTAGGAAATATCTCCCCAACCCTGTGAAGGCTTAAACTCCTGAAATTCCTACAAAAAAAATTAGAAAGTACAGAGACAAACTGCTATAAATATTAATCCAGGACTGAATGGCTTCGGTGCTGTGGGTTCTGCTCTATTTACAGTTTTAAGGACCTTCTCAGCAGCTGGAAGGTTGGACAAAGGACATGGGTGATGAGGGATGGAGGACAAAGTGTGTTCCTTGTGTCACCACACAGTGATGGACAGAGTGTTCACTCTGTTCCCAATGGCTCTCAGGAAGAAACACTGATGGCAGAGATGCCAAGGGAGTTGGAGGTGCCTCTGGATGAACCATGTCAGCACACAGTGCCCTGAGACATTCACACAACCCTGGCAGAGGTTGGTGGGACATCTGCCTTTGGCAGCTCCAGGTACACACAGCTCCAGTGCTTGGAAGGGTTCACACACACAGGATTCTGCCTGGCAGCTGTGGATGAAGGGGTGGAAAGGCTGAACTAGGCTAAGGTGGTTCCAGATAAACTCCAGGACAGCCAAATATCTATGAGGGAGAGTAACAAGCTGGAGTGCTGCTGCCAGGCATGAGTGGGAACACAGAGCAGAGCTCAGTGGGGCTCCCTGTGTCTCCCAGGGCTTCCATGGTGAGAGGACAGCTCAGGAAGTGCGGTGAGAAAATTCCCATCCAGGATGTCACAGTGCCATGGGCATGTTCCTAACACTGTGCTCTGACTCTGAACAGAGCAGGAAACACTCATGCTTTCCTCCCACCAGGAGAGCACAGGCTGCATGCACAGGGACACAGCCACAGGCTTTGCTTCCTCCCTGAGGAAGATCAGCTCTTTTGGGAAGTAATTCTCACCCTATTTTGCTGTCTGTTTAAACCCCAAGTCCTCACCAGGCACACCTCCCTGGGTGCTCTGCCTGCCTGGTTCCTGGAGAGCAGAGGAGCTGTACAGCACTCTGACTCTTTGGCAGAACACAACAAAGTCCACCTCGAGGTGAGAAGGCCAAAGCACTCCAAACTCATCAGTCTGAATTGGTCAAAATAAAATCCATTTGTTCCCAGGAAATCTGTTTGCATCTGCACACATGTGCTGGCCACTGCTGGGTTCCCAACTCGTATTCCCAGCACTTGGCTGACATTGGACAAGAATGGCAGGGGGTGGAATGAGATGGTCTTTAAGGTTCCTTCCAACACAAACCATTCCAAGTGCTCCTGATTGTGCTGTTTCGACAGAAGATGCTCCTGAGACATCAGGAGACACACAGCAGCTGCACAAAAGCACTGATGGAAGAATGACAGCTAAAATATTTGTCTCCTGTGGGAGACAACTTGATGGGATCTTTGCCTACCCAAGGCCTACCTGCACAGAGCCTCCTTCCCACACTCCAGGGAAGGGAGGGAGAACATTCTGCTTGCTGGCAGAAGCAGTGCAAGTCATCCCTGATGGAAACCCTCTGCCCACGCTCCCTCCCTGCTGAGGTGTAAGCAGCCCAGCAGCCAAGGGTATTAGAACAACTGGGATCAGTAGGAGAAACTGGAATTATTAACAATCAGTCCTGAAAAGGTCAACTCCTGAGTCACAGCAGGGAAGGATACGGGGGAGTTGCTTTGAAGTGCATCTTTTTCCTCCTTCCTTACTCTCTTTTGAATACACACAGAATATATTAAACTCGCTGGTGATCATTCAGTCTCTCTTTCAGGCACTATCACTGGACACAGAGTCAGCTTTACACAAAGCTTTCTTCTTGCCACTGCAGCTCCACCAATGCTACCCTGGATTCCCCTTAGAACCGGAGGTTTCTTCTCCATCTCCAAAAGAGATTGATATATCAAAACCAAATTCAATTACAAAATATAATAATATCCTCTTCTTGGAAGTGAAGCTGTCCCATATTCCAGACTGTGGCAGGATTTTTTTATGTCCTCAAAATATTGTTAATAAGTTCTACTTTAAAATACATCCAAGTCCCAATCTGTCTGTCCTGCATGTAATGCTGACAGCTGGAGATCCATTCCCTGGTCAGCTCCTTGTGGGATCAGTTCCAGGGCTCTTCTCAGTTGTCTTCTGCAGACTTGAACATGAGGATGGCATTGTAGATCTTCAGGGCAGGGCCCAGCTTGATGCTGAGGATTTTAACGATGTCGGTCTGGTTGAGGAGCAGGAAGGCCTCACCGTCGATCTGCTGGAGGTTGGAACACACAGAGGACAGAGATTATCATCAGGGGACAGGCAGGATTCCCACTGCTGGTATTCCTCCCTACTTCTGGCACCCACACCCTGTGAGATTCCCAGGAATGCTGCCCTTCCCAAGGGGCACAGACCTCATCTCACAGCCTTTTTCCTAGAGATGGAGGAGCCTGAGCGTGGGCAAAGCACTATGAGGTGCTTCTTCACTGTAATTGCTCCACACAGCCAACAACTGTCAAAAATCCTACAGCCTGTGCACAACTGTGGCCAGAAATTAGATCAAGAAATCCAGACTGTGAATCCTCAGGAGGCAGCTATCCAAGAAAAATATATTACACTGATCCATGATGATTAAAAGTATAAAATCACCATTTCCAGGGCATTCACTGCATGTTGTCATTGCACAGACTCCTCCAACCCTGTTTAGCTATTCAGGGTAAAATTTAAAGCCAAACACTCTTTTTTTCTGCCTTTTTTGGTTAGTTCTGCTAAAAACTTCATAGACGAGAATAATTCCTGAGATGTGAACATCTGGATATCCTCACAGCTGGGATGTTCTGTGCCTCGAGACAAGTCTCTGTTTACAGGAGAAACAGGAGGGTCTTGTGAAATCCTTTTCAGTAACACTCACTGGGCTTGCTCAGCACATGGCTAAAGGAATCCTGTGAGGAAAGACTGAGAGAATTAGGATTGTTCAGCCTGGGAAAGAGAAAGCTTTGAGGTGACCTAATTGTGGCCTTCCAGTGGCTGAAGGGAGCCAACAGGAAAGATGGAGAGAGACTATTTACAAAGGCTTGGAGGGACAGGACATAGGGAATGGCTTCACACTGACACAGGGCAGGGATAGTTGGGATATTGCGAAGAAATTCCTCCCTGTGAGGGTGTTGAGGCACTGGCACAGCTTGCCCAAAGAAGCTGTGGCTGTCTCATCCCTGGAAGTGTTCCAGGTCAGGCTGGATGGGGCTTGGAGCAACCTGGGCTAGTGGAAAGTGTCCCTGCCCATGGCAAGGAATGGAACAAATGACCTTTGAAGTCTCCTCCAACCCAAACCATTCCAGGATTTTATGTGCTACACAGACCAAGGCATAGTAAAACATAATCCAGCTGGAAAAACACACTCTCCTAATCCATCAGCAAGGAGATATTCAAGAAGATGCACAGTAAGCAAGTGATTATCATACTACTGTGTGAAAATCCAGGATGCTCTAGGTAGCAGCCAGTGAAATCCTGACATACTATTTTAAGAAGAGGTTAAAAATTTACTTGAGCAAGAACATCCAGAGAGACAACACAGATATAATTAATACAAACCCCAAATGCTGCAGGGAAGAAGCCAAAGATTAATGGCCACAGACAAACAATATGTGTCTCCCCAAGTTATTCCATTAAAGTCCATTTGCAGAGACTGACAGTGTCTCCTCCTCTCACTTGATGCTTACCAGTGCAGCAGACACCACTGGACACTCAGCCCAGACAGTAGAACAATTCTGCTGGTTTTGTAGTCTTCCCAACTAGAATTTTTGTGGATGTCAATGAGTGGTGCAAGAGGAAAACACTGAGGAAACTCAGACAAACAAATGGCTCTGAACATGAGCCAGCAGTGTGCTCAGGGGGCCAAGAAGGCCAGTGGCATCCTGGCCTGGATCAGGAACAGTGTGGTCAGCAGGACCAGGAGGTGATTCTGCCCCTGCACTCAGCACTGGTGAGGCCACACCTTGAATCCTGTGCTCAGTTCTGGGCCCCTCAGCTCAGGAGGGACATTGAGGGGCTGGAGCAGGTCCAGAGAAGAGCAACGAGGCTGGGGAAGGGACTGGAGCACAAGTGGCATGAGGAGAGGCTGAGGGAGCTGGGGGTGTTCAGCCTGGAGAAGAGAAGGCTCAGGGGAGACCTTAGCACCCTCTGCAACTCCCTGACAGGAGGTTGGAGTCAGGTGGGGGTTGGTCTCTTCTCCCAGGCAACCAGCAGCAGGACAAGAGGGCACAGACTCAAGCTCTGCCAGGGGAGGGTTAGGTTGGATGTTAGGAAGATTTTTTTTTTATGGAGAGAGTGCTCAGACATTGGAATGGGCTGCCCAGGGATGTGGTGGATTCACCAACCCTGGAGGTTTTCAAGCTGAGACTGGATGTGGCACTTAGTGCCATGGTCTAGTAATCACAGTGGGGTTGGACTTGATGATCTTGGAGGTCTTTTCCAACCTGGTTGACTCTATGATTCTAAATACTTAAAGCATAGAGTTGGGAGCCAGGAGATTTGGTCTCTCTGTCTCTCACCACACCAGAGACCCTTAGCAAGTTACTCAGCCTCCCAGTATGGACACTGGGAACGACAGCAGCACTCCCAGGCCACAGATGGCCACACAACATCTCTGAATCTCATTTGCAAGCTGCCTAGTGTCTACACTGCTGCAATGAATGTGTTAAAAATAGCTTGAAACAAATGGGACTGTTGCTTAAATTAAATAACAGAGTTGAGAGGAGCAGAAAACTGCTGGAAAACAGTTCTGCATTTCAAAATGCTTTTGAGTCCAATATTATTCCTATGCTTCATTTTCACTGCATTGCCTCACACAGCCTTATTTTAAACAGACCTGCCCTGAACTGGACCTAGAAACAAGTCTGTGCTTTATTATTCATTTCTTTGTTCCATCATATTTGGATGGTTTTTCAAATTCTGTGCACAATTTGTTCCCTTTATTCCTAATGTAAGCAGTGACTTATCCCTCTCCAGCCCCCAGCCAAGGAAGTCTGCAAGGGATTTATTTATCCTGGATATGGAGCACTCTGAGGCTGATCCCAGCTCATGGGCAGTGTGGGGAGTTCAGTCACTCACACCTGTGTCCTGGCCAAAGCCAAACTGCTAAAAGGGGTTTGATCTCCAACTGACAATTTGGTTTGAGCATAGACTTGAAGAACAAAAACCCCCTCTCAGTTGGCATAGGGATCATACTTTGAGGCTGCAGAAAGTAAGGGATTAAAACAGATCATGGCTAAGGCACTCTTGGAATCAGAAAGCAGTTGCTGTGTTCAGGCCCTGGATAAATTATGGCCAGAAGAAATAAAATATATGGAGAATGGTTGGATTCATCAGCTTTGCTTGGTACATCTTCCCTTCCAAACTCTCCAGATCTTTTACACTCAGCTACACTGAGAT